GGTCATGAGCGGTGTGCCTCAGGGCTCTGTGCTAGGTCCTATGCTATTCAACCTGTTATTAATGATATTGGGGAGGGAGTAAAAAGCAATGTTTCAGTGTCTGCTGATGCCAAAATCGGGAGGGTAATAGACACGGACTGAGACATTATAACACTACAGGGGGACCTGGAGTAAGTTGGGGAGGGGGCAAATATATGGCAAATGAGGTTCAATGTTGATAAATGTAAAGTTATGCACTTTGGTGTCAAAAATAGGCAAGCGGATTACACAATAATGGGAACTCCATTAGGGAAGTCCCAAATGGAAAAAGATCTGGGGGTCGTGGTAGACCACAGGTTGAATAATAGATTGCAGTGCCAGGCCGCGGTAAACAAAGCGAGCAGAGTACTATCTTGTATTAAAAAGGGAATGTACTGCAGAGACACGGCTATAATTTTTTCAGGTTGTTTCATTTTCACGATGATTTCATGTGTTGCCAATGAAGAAGGTTTTCACATCGGTTCACCTTAATGATCACTATTCCCTGTCAAAAGGGTAATTATGTGTTTGTTGTGATCACTAACCTAGACTACTAAATAGCCCATGTGTTTTGGGGATTCATTTACTGCTGTAGGTGTTTTGTAGGTTGGTGTGCTCGATTTATTAGTTTTTGATACACACAGACCTAGCGCAACACACCTCCACATAGGTATCCTCAGACCTTTGCAGTAGACAAGCTGGTGACCCCATGGGATCAATTTCAGCTGACATATGCCTTTCTCTGATAGGGATTCATCCTCAACTGCTTTACAGGATTGAGATGGAGGTTGTTCAGGTGACCCTGGTGGAACCCAACTGGCCTAGAAGAAGTTGGTGCTTGGACATCCTTTGCATATTTGGAGATCTTCTGTGGACTCTTTCTTATAAACCTGACCTGTTATTTCAAGGGCTGTTATGCCACCCTGCTTCTTGGTCGCTGGCTTTGACATCTTTGCTGTTGAAGCCTAGGTCCTGAAGAACCAGGATTTGTCTGGCTTTATTTTTATGCTTCTGAAGGCTAAGAGGTTGACATCTCAAGAAGTCTATGATTGCACTTGGAAGGCCTACTTTACCCGGTGCAGGGAACGAAGGTTCCAAGCTTGGAGAACTCCTCTAATTTCTCCAGTCTGGCCTTTTTATCAGCACCCGGCCTTGAGTACCTTCATGGGTCAAATCTCTGCTTTTCTTTCAGAGGTTGCTCTTGCTGCTCACTCTCTGTTGAAAACATTTCTACAGAGGCTCATTTAGCTCTCTCCCTTCGTTCACCATTATCACTGAAGAGCTGACAAGACCAGATTCAGATCACACAAAGTATTCTTTGTGAGCCCATTCAGGATATCCCATTGGCACACCTTACTCATAAGTAGGGATGCACCGATACTTTTCCTCAAGTACTCGCCAATACCAATTAGTGACACTTTTTTTTTTTGTGTCATGTGACCGTTTTTCGAAAACAATACAGACTAAAGATTTAAGGACCGTGGTGGAGCGCCAGGACTCGGTCCCAGCTGCAAACTCTGGTAGTTCTGTCACTGACTCCAAGCTGCAGAGGGACTACTAATCTCAGCAATACATTTATACAACAATGGAGAATACCACCAGCTATAGAGGACTACATCTCGGAACTACATTAGCTGGTGGTATTCTGCTATGGCAACCGGCTATGGAGAGTTAAAAGGACAGCATGCCAGGATACAGCGCTGCACTTGAGGGGTTAAATTGGAGATATGTTGAGTTTCCTTGTACGGTTTGAGCAGCTAGTTTTTTATTTTTTGGGACCACACTCAAACTAATTGGACTAACCACGGAAGTTTGGGAACTTATATTAGGTCCTTCTATGCCCCTGCAATCTCCTTTACATAGGACGCACAATACGCCCGCTTCGCAAACGGATTGGAGAACATAGAAGGTTCCTAATATTTTAGAGAACAGACATCACCCCTGGCAAACTGGAACCCGTGCGACACCAGCATCATCAAACTCCACCCTCCGTCGATCACCACGTAATATTTTTTACCTAAGGGTAAGTCCCTAGATTTTTTTCTGTTTTTTCTCTTTTTTGTACACGCCATTTCATTTACCTCCACAATTTGATGTTTTTTATTTTTTGAGACCACACTCGAACTAATTGGACTAACCACGGAAGTTTGGGAACTTATATTAGGTCCCAGTTTTCCAGCCCCCCCTCTCCCCCCCCTTACAAGGTTCAGCAAAAAATCGCCCTGTTCCCTACTCGGCTTGCAGCGCTTCTCCCTTCCCTTCTCTGTTTAACCGGCTATGGAGGACTACTAATACCAGCAATGCAGAATAAGAAATTACATACTCTCTGCTGCTCTAGGGTGCCGGCCTAATTTCTCCAGCGGCGGATCTCATGAGGGCTGTGCGGGGGTTTTAGGAGGCCTCTGCAGGCTCTATGGCGGGCTTTGCAATGTCTCAGGTGGCCTGTGTGGGGTCTATGGTGGGCTGTGCGGGGTCCATGGTGGGCTTTCAGGAGGCTGTGTGGGGTCCCATGCGACTGTGCTGGGTCTATTGTGGGCTGTTCAGGCTCCCAGGTGGTTGTGCGGGGTCTGTAGTCGGCTGTTCGGGGTCTTGGGTGGCTGTGCTAAGGTGTGCCGGGCACTATACTGGGCAGTGCAGTCTCACAAGGGGTCCCCGGTAGTCTTCTCAGCAGCCATTCTGGTTTACAGCGCCTACTTCAGTTTAATCATTTAAACCGCTGATTATCGATGCATCCCTACTCATTAGGTAGCCTTCCATGTGGTTATCGCATCTGCTAGACTGGTTTTTGAAATGGCAGCCTTATCTTGTAGAGAGCCTTTTCTGATTCTTTGTAGAGATAAGTTGGTTCTAAGACTTCAGGCTTCCTTTCTTCCCAAAGTAGTTTCTACTTTCCACCTTAAATAGCCCTGCTCTGAGGCATCCCAAAGAGATTTTCCTGCACTGTTTGGATGTGGTGTGGACAGTGCATGTATACCCTTTTGCTCACTGTTTCCATCAAACAGATGAGGTTCACTCTCGAAAGCTTGTCTTGTATATATTTTGTTAGTCCAATAAAAAAGCTATCATTGCACACTGCAATACTGCATTTTTGTCTTTTTTGACATCTTGTCTACTGGACTAATACGGCTTACCCATTTATATTGCACTATATATATAGATATAGATAGATATATAGATAGATATATAGATATATATATTACAGACATTCCACGGTTACCGACTTACCTGCTTTGCGACCACTCGCACTTAAGACGGACCGCCGAGCGACCTCGCCTGTCAGCGCCAGTGCGACGTGTCGCCGGCGGAAGTGACGTCCTCAGATCTTCACTGCGGGTCCCAGTAAGTATTTTGTATATTTGGAACAAATTTATTTGCAAATTATGGTGCAAAATAAGTATTTGGTCAATATCAAAAGGTCATCTCAATACTTTGTTATATATCCTTTGTTGGCAATGACAGAGGTCAAACGTGTCCTGTACGTCTTCACAAGGTTGGCACACACTGTTTCTGGTATGTTGGCCTATTCCTCCATGCAGATCTCCTCTAGAGCAGTGATGTTTTGGGGCTGTCGCTGGGCAACACGGACTTTCAACTCCCTCCAAAGGTTTTCTATGGGGTTGAGATCTGGAGACTGGCTAGGCCACTCCAGGACCTGGGCGGTACACACATATGTGCGGGTGTGCCTGCAGGAGTGGCAGTGGTGGAGGGAGGGCCAGTAATAATATTATTGTCCCCCCCCCCCCCCCCCAATAGTCGCCA